GCTATGAGTCGGTTCCGACTCGATGGCACCTGACAACAACAACAACAACAGCCAGAGTGCTCCTTGGAGGCCAAGATGGCTAAGCTTCGTCTCTCATGCTTTGGACATATTGTCAGGAGGGAACAGTAGCTGGAGAAGGATGTCATGCTGGGTAAGATGGAGGGTCAGAGAAAAAGAGGAAGACCCCAACGAGATGGATCGGCCAGGTGGCATCATTGATGGTGTCAAGTGTGGCAGCGGTAGTGAGGTTGGCTCAGGGTAGGATATTGTTTCGATCTGCTGTGCATGGGGTGGCTATGAGTCAGTTCCGACTCGATGACACCTGACAACAACAACAACAACAACTGCAGCACTTAACAACAACAAAATTATAAATCTGGATTTATAATGGCAGGTTTTGTATTTCAAAATTTGCATTTATTTTGTCTGTTTGTTCTTTTAGTGTTTTCCTGAAATTTTTAAAAAACCTTTTCCTGTGTTCTCCTTGCTTTCTTGCATCTTTCTGTCAGTCCATTGAAGGTGCCTAAATATCATTCTTTTGAATTCGTTTTCAGTTAGCTCCATTGTCAGTTTTGTTTTGTTTTTTACCATGTTTAAGACTGTATTATTTGATATTCATCAATATATGCCTCAAGTCCTCTTCATTTTCACCAAGCAAGGTTGTTTCATCAGCATGTTGCAGGTTATTAATGAGTCTTTCTCTGATCTTGATGCCATATTCTTCTTCATATTGTCCAGCTTCTCAGATTATTTGCTCATCAGACAGAATGAATAAATATTGTAAAGGGTATAACCCTGACACATATCTTTCCTGATTTTAAATTATTAATTTCCCCCTTGTTCTGTTTGTTCTATATGCAGGTTCAACATAAGCACAATTAAGTATTCAGGAATTTTCATTCTTTGCAATGTTGTCCTTAGTTTGTTATGATTCACACATTGTAATGCCCTTTAATAGACAGTAAAAGTACTCATATTTCTTGTATTATTTGCTTTCAGCAATGATATCCCCATTTCACATTCTCATCTGAATCTCTTTTGACTTTCTGGCAGCTCCCTGTCTATGTGTTGCTGCAACTATTTTTAAATTAATTTTACTTTCATGTTATACTAATGATTTTGTTTTGATGATTGCTTTATTCTGTTGGGTCATCTATCTTTGAATTGGGTACAAATATGGATCTCTTCCAAATTTATTGGTGTAGACTAGTGCTTCCAGAACTGCATTAATTTATTGAAATATTTCAATTTGCATATTGTTAATTCCTGGAGCTTTGTTTTTGGCACATACATTCAGTGCAGCTTGATTTTTGTCCCTTCAATACAATTGGTTGTTGGTCACATGCTACTTCTTGAAATGGTAGAAAATTGAGCAATTCTTTTTAGTACAGTGACTCTGTGTATTCTTTCCATAATCTTTTGACACATATTGTATCATTCAATATTTTGCCGATTTTTTGTTGCTAAGTGCAAATAAGTTGGTTCCGATTCAGAGTGATCCTGTATAGAGTTTATGAGGAGCAATTAGTGAGTTTGAACTGTCAACCTTGTGGTTAAAATCGACCTTATAGTTGAGCGCTCATCCTACAGTGTCATACCAGGACTCCCATAGAATCCATAAATACTTCAACTTGAGCTTAAATTTTTTATTCTGTTTCTTCAGCTTGAGAAATGCTAAATATGTCCTTCCCCTTTGAGGTTCTAACTGCAGGTCTTTGCACATTTCGTTATAATACTTTACTTTGTTTTCTCAAGCTACCCTTTGAAATTTTCTGTTCAGCTCTTTTTTCATCATTTCTTCCATTCACTTGAGCACCCTGATGCTGGAGAACAAGATTCAGAGACTCTTCTGGCATGCATTTTGGTCTTTTCTATATTTCCTGCTTTTAAAATGACCTTTTGATTTCTTCTTGTATAATATTTTTTATGTCATACCACAATTCTTCTGATCTTTAGTCATTAGTGCTCAATGCATTAAATCTCTTTTTGAGATGGTCTCTAAGTTCAGATAGGATACACTCAAAGTTATATTTTGGCTATTCTGGACTTGTTTTAATTTTCTTCTACTTCAATGTGAACTTGTATATGAGCAATTGAAAATCTATTTCACAGTTGGTCTCTGGCTTTGTTTTGTCTAATGATGATGAGCTTCTTTATAGTTTCTTTCCACAGATGTATTCCATCTGTAGAGATTGGTAGACTTCTTCAGTTTCTTCCTCACAGGCTTTGGTGGTTGGTACATAAATTTGAATAGTAATCATTAACTGATTTTGCTTGTAGATGTATGGATATTATCTTGTCACAAACAGCTTTATATTTCAAGAGAGATCTTGAAATGCTCTTTTTGGCAATCTATTTTGTCATTCCAGGCATTGTTGTTGTTGTTGCTGTTAAGTGTTATCAAGTCCGTTCCACCCATAGCGACTCTGTATAATAAGGTTTCTGAAGAGAAGCTGGTGAGCTTGAACCACCGGCGTTGCAGATCAAAGCAACTTTGTAGTCTGATGCATTAACCCACAGCACCATACCAGTACTCCTTCCAGGCATATTAAGCCATACATTTGTAAACCGAATAAGCTGGGTTTTATTTTTTTAAAGTATTTTTAGTCTTACTTACTATTTTTATTCTTAAGGTTGACTGCTTTGAGGAGGCAGCTCTTCCTGAGTTATATTTTTAGTGCCTTCCAAACTGAGGGGTTCATCTTCTGATACTACTTCAGACAATGTTGGAGTTTGGAAGAGTTAGATTTTACAAATGTTCCATGCCCCAGATTTCTGCATCCTCTTTTTTTCCCAAACTTTATTTCCTATTCTCACACCAGGCAAATGTACCTCAAATGTACCTCAAAACCTTGCTAAACGTAGTAAATAGTATAAAATCTACTGGCTTTGCTCAACTACTTTTCCTGACCTATAATCTCAGTAGACGCTGAATCAACCTTCCAAATGAGGCAATGTTTTACTGTTTACATAAGTTTTTTAAGTTTCCAATCTTCAATATAAGTTTTCTAGCTGTTTTTCCAATGTCATATGGTTTGTTTGTTTCTTTCTTCATATAATAGCAAACTACGCTAAAATGATGCTAATTTTAGTTTCTAAATGAAGCTAACTATGATGAAGATCAAAGACCACAGCCTTCAATATGGATTGCATGTCAACGTAAAGAAAACAAAAATCCTCACCACTGGACCAATAAACAACATTCTTATCAATGGAGAAAAGATTGAAGTTGTCAAGGATTTCATTCTTGGGTCAACTATCAGCACTCATGGAAGCAGCAGTCAAGAAATCAAATGACGTATTGTATTAGGCAAATCTGCTGCACAAGACCTTTTTAAAGTGTTGAAGAACAAAGATGTCAGCTTGAGGACTAAGGTGCACCTTAGCCATGGTGTTTTCAGTAACCTCATATACATGCAAAATCTGGACAGTGAATAAGGAAGACCTTTTTCTTAGAAGAAGTGGTGCTTTTGAGTTATGATGTTGGAGGAGTAAATTGAAAGTGCCATGGGCTGCCAAAAGAACCAACAGATCTGCAATGGAAGAAGTGCAGCCAGAGTGTTCCTTGGAGGCCACAATGGCCAAACTTTGTCTCACATACTTCACACATATTGTCAGGAGGGATTAGTTACTGGAGAAGAATATCATGTTTAGTAAGGTGGAGGATCAGAGAAAATGAGAAAGACCCCAATGAGATGGATTGGCAAAATGGCAGCATCAGTGAGGTCAAGCATGGCAACATTTGTGAGTTTGGCCCAGGATCGGGCAGTGTTTTTTTCTGTTGTGCATAAGGTCGCTATGAGTTGGTACTGATTCGATGACACCTAGCAACAACAACTCAAAGATAGTTCCACATATAAAATAGTTCTCAAAAATTGCAGAGATATATCTATTCACCACATAAACAATATGTGGAGATTTCAATTTAGTGGCTGAGATGTCTCTCTATAGTTCATCCAACACCTACACTTTCCCAAACTTTTTCATTATCAATTATCATTTCATTATCTTATATTGTCATTTAAGAATGGGTAACTGAATAGTAGATTGGGGAAAAGACATAATAGATAACTTATGGGCATTTCTATAGTCCTGGTTTGTTAGTCTACGATAAGTACTGGGCTGCTAACTACAGAGTTGACAGTTCAAACCCACCAGCCACTCATTGGAAACCCATACACAAGGTCACTATGAGTCAGAACTGACTCAACAGCACTTAACAACAACAAGACCAGAAATGGTGCAGATCACTTCCACTGTCACTCAGCTAGCCACACCTTATTTACATAGTCACATTTAACTACAATGAAAGAGAAAAAATGTGATCTACTTTATTCCCAGAAAATAGATAACAAGTTTGGCAAACAGAAGTTTCTTCCAGATAATGAGAGTGAACATCCTCCAAGAGTTTGGTTTCAACTGAAGAGAAAGAATGAATTCATCAGGATTTATAGAAAGTACGTTTAAAGAGAAAGTGAGAATGCTAATATGACTGGAAAATGTACAGAGACAGATAGTGTTGGAAGTGTCAGGTTTGTGACCATTCATATTCTTATTTGATTGAATCCATCAACTCTTTTTTTACCTTTACATCTTTGAAAGGAATGCAATTTTTTTAACTGAGTCTTTGAAAGCTTCCTTTACTTGCTTGTTTCTCAGAGTGTAAATAAAGGGATTCAACATTGGTGAAATAGAAGTGATAAGGAGTGAAATCCCTTTATTAATAGTCACCTCATCCTTGGCTGAAGGTTTGACATAAATGAAGATGCAGCTACCATAAGTAATGGAAACAACTATCATGTGGGAAGAACAAGTGGAAAATGCCTTTTTCTTTTGCTGGGCAGAGGGGAATCTTAGGATTGTTCTGATGATATAGGTATAGGAAAGAACTACACACATGAAGGTGATGATGAATGTCAACACAGCACACACGATAACCATCTGTTCTATCAGCCATGTGTCTGAACAAGAGATCTTCAGGATAGGAGATGCATCACAGCAAAAATGATCAATGACATTAGAGTCACAGAATTCCAGGCTCAAACCCAGACTAATTGGTGGGAGAATGATGATCAGTGATGCTGCCCAACAGAAGAAGATGAAGTTCTTACACACTCTAATGCTCATAATAGTGGCATAGTGCAATGGTTTGCAGATGGCCACATAACGATCATAAGACATGGTGGCCAGAAGGAAAAATTCTGTTACTGCAAAGAGGTCTATAAATAAGAGTTGACTGGCACAAGCACCGTACGTGATGGACCTGTCTCCAGAAGATATGCTATACAAGAATCTGGGAATACAAGCAGTCGTGAATGAAATTTCTAAGAACGAGAAGTTTTGAAGGAAAAGATACATTGGTGTTCTAAGGTGGTAATCTACCAGTGTGAGAGTAATGATGGTTAGATTTCCAGTTACACTTAGCATATAGGAAAGAAATAGAAAAACAAAAAGTAGAATTTGTAGCTGAGGGTCATCTGTCAGTCCCAGCAATATGAAGGTTGTTAGTGCTGTTTGATTCCTCATCCTTGATTACTGCATCCTACTCAATCTGTTTGGAACAATGAAAAACACTTAACATAAGACTTACGAGACATAGCCATCTTCTAATTACAAGTAAATATGACAGTCATTTCTGTGCATTTGGTCAGTGGAGAAGAAAGCACATAACAAACAAATACTTGATCACCTTCTCTTTGCATCACATAATCTGCCCATACATATTTCAATCACATAGTTTATATTTATGAGTCTAATGAGTTTACAATCTAGCTGTTGTTGTTGTATGTCATTGAGACTATTCCAATTCATAGGTTTCTGAGGAATGACTGGTGGGTTTGAACTACCGACCTTGCAATTAGTGGTCCAGAGCTTGTCCTACAGCACCACACAAGGACTGTAAGTTGTGTCAATTCAACATATGTTATAAACATTATTGTAATCATGCCCCCTTTCAATGGGGGATTGTTTTTGGGTCAGCATCCTGCCTCCCCTGATCTCCTATCTCCAGTCATGCTTCTAGTACAGAAGTCTCAAATTAAGCTAGCAATGGTCATTATAAAGAAAAATCAAGCCTGTCAGTTACATGCATATTAATTAACAAACTGGCAATGGATAATTATCACATGATGACAGCCTACCTTTTCTGAGGCACGTTTCAGATATTTTTTAACTGAATAAATTTTCTTCAGTATTTATTTTAATGCATTAAAATGTAACATTTTTTAGGTTTTCACTTCATGAAATTATTCCAAAAACATTTCATAGTGATATATTTCTACTTCTATTGTGAAAACTCATTATTTATTATGCAGAACATGCTTATTTTATGTATCTTATTATTCCCTCTTGAATATTACCTGGATTTTCAAATTTAAAAATTAAAAATATATATTATGTATTATATTCCCTTTTCAATTATCAATCTGAGTCTCTTCTACTGATATTATTTATGTCTTCTTATTTTTTAGTCCATTTTCAGTTTATCACCAGATCTTGTCATTTCTGATTGCTTTATGCTTATATCCTATTAATTTACACCTTTTTACACTGCTGTCTTAATTCTGGATGTCCACATTATAGCTAAACTATTTCAAAACCTTACGAATATATTCTTAACATGTGTCTTGGTACTTCTCTTTCAATTTTTTTTAAAGAATCAATGTATTCCAAATTGTTGGTGTTATAGAATAAGCACTGGATTGCTAATCACAAGGTCAGTGGTTCAAACCCATCAGCGAATCCTCAGAAACCCTATACTGGATGCTATGAGTTGGAACTTACCCAATGGGACTTAACAACAGCAACAGAATATATTGTGGAAAGATATTTTGGAATTCTAATGAACTGATATTCTCCCTTCACTATACAGTCTCTTGACATCCTTAATGGAGCTATCATTTAGACAGAAGCTAAATTATTTTGATTTTAGGTAAGAACTATGAAGAGAAAGAAAATAAACACATTCATTGTTATAGATTTCAAAATTGAGATTACTGGAATGTGTTCAGGTGATAACAAATTTGTTCAAAGGAAAAGTTGATGAGTCAGAAGCAAATTTCCAATCCATAGAGACTTTATGAAATTTCTTTCACAGAGGATAAGAAAAATGAAGGAGAGGGTTCAGAGGTTAGTGATTCTGAGTGAAGTCTTTATGATTGGGAACTTTCTCTATCTTCAATTTTTGTAAAGCCAGAAAGGCAGAAGAAAGGAAAATGAGAATGTTGATGGTAGTGGGTGGTCTCTGATCCTTTGTAGAAATCTAAGAGAATAATTGAAACATTAGATTTCATACCTTCTTCATACAATGTAAGCTTCTCGGTTAGCTTTGTCTAATATTTACATTATCAATTAATACAATGTATCTAATTTTTCCCCTGCTCTACTAATGTACTTGATCTGACTTCTAACAAAAGAAATTATGTAATACTTATAAAGAATATATCCTGTAGTATCAGGTTGCTGAATTCAGGTGTCCTCATTCACTTGCCTTTACCTGGTTTATTTAGTTGGAGTTTCCACAAAAGCCATGCTTAAAATTATCTCTGGACATTTCCATATGTGGTCCTTCTGTCCAGTTATACTTTCTAACTTCTCCTTTCCCTGTTTCAAGTTTCATCTTAGGTATTAATTCCACCAGAAATTCATCTGTGGCTCTCCAAGATGGAGTTAACTTTTCTCTTATTACCATTGTTCCTATGATTAGTCTTATTATAGCTCTTCTGACTAAATTGTCAGATTGTATTGACAAATTTTACATTAGATATTTCTGTGTCTCAAACACCAAACACATTACAATGATGTAGTACTGTGTTTAAAACTTTGTGGAAATAGTAAAAGAATAATAAACTATTTGCTTAATAATTAAAGAACAAAGTATCTTCTTTAATAAAATAATAAACTCCAGGCGTTCTGATTTTCTTCCATTCCAAGATGGAAAGGAATCTCACATGGAAAACTCCATGAGTTTTTTTATCTGAATGGGTGTCCTAAGGTTTAATGAATTGAGGCACTTTTCCACTATAAAAATATGCCTGTGACATATAGGCTCACTCACAAGAAAGAAGCACTAATTCAAGTTCAGAGAAAGAAATATTTGGTTGAATTATACCCATTGGAATTGACCTTTCTAACTTAAGTTGAAAGAATCCGTATGCTCTCAATGTTCACTGTGACATGTTAACTCAGAACAGTGTCCTTTATTCTAAAGGTCTTTGCCCTTTCTAATCAATATTTATGCTCTCTAATATTAGAATATTAAGAAAACTTTACGATAAACCAATTTAACACACATATAGCTTGTATTTAGTGAACTTCAAGGAATATTTACATTTTTAATTAACTCAATAATAACTAAAGACACATTGTAGAGAAATTGGCATTTCAATGCTATATCTTGATATAAGTAAATGGTGAATTGTAAAAGTAACAATATGAGATGAATTGCTACTGGCTGTCCCTTAAATTACCTTTTTCTATGAGAACTCATGATTCATTGATGACATGTCTTCTTTTTTCCATTTTATTGTTAATGAGAAAATACACAGCAAAACATATACCAAGCCAACAATTTCTACATGTACAAGTCAGTAACATTGATTCCATTCTTCAAGTTCTGCCACCATTCTCACCTTCATTTTGATTTGTTCCTCCATCATTACCATAAACTAACTGCACCATAAGATTTTTATTTAATCTTCTGAGCTGTTGTCAATTAAATCCTATATAGGTAGTTCTTAAAAAGCACAGTGTTGAAGGCAGATGTATTTTATTAATTAAACTAAGGTATTAATAAGTTTAAAGAATACTTCAGGAGATATATTTGTTTCTTAGATTTAATGATTACTTTAGGGCAATAGTTTCAAGGGTTCATCTAACCTCCATGATTGTAGAAAGTCTAGATTTCATTAGAATTTAAAGGTTGTTCTGCATTTTTTCCTCTTTGATATAAGGGTATTGTTATAGGACAAAATATTCCAAAGGAATTGACCATTCCTTTACTGATGCATGTCATAAATATTTCCAGGGAGATAATTTTTCTAGAACAAAATAATATCAGAAAAATTTCCAGAGGTATTCAAATTAATTGTTTTGCCATCTACAATTTTCAAACACAGATAAGCTTGATACTTTGCTCAAACCAATGAAATAGAATATTGATTAAGGACATAAACAGAAATTATCAAGCAAAAACATACTTACTCATATGAAAGGTAATCATGTCTTTAATGGACTGTGTAAATTTCATAATACCAAAGATTAAACTGAAATTGTTAGTAGAGTCAGATATATGCCTCACTCATAAATCCATACACTGCCACAGATCAGTTTTTGAAAGACATACTCTCTGCGTTATCAACATCTCTCAACATAACAGATTCTCAGTGCAGATCCTATTGAACTTTGAAACTAAGAATTAATATCTTAGATCTCAAAGCTTCAATAAAAAGGATTTGGGGGGAAGATATCTGAGAAATATAAAGAGATATTCATAGTTTTGGAAGAGGTGGTTTGTTATCTTTCTGGGTAAAGACATTTTTACTCTGTGACGTAAGATAAATGTTGGATTAGCAATTTCTTATAGATATGCAGAGCCCTCTGAATGAATAAACAAAGGGTCCTTTGTGACCAAAGTTCAAACATCACTAATGAATTTAATATGCATTGAATTTTGGTAAAACGCCTAATGAAGAAACACTGGGGACTGTCCTCTGAGACAGTAAAGTTTAGACATGTTCTAAATGCATAATAATACTTGCCTGATGAAAAGACATAATACTGGTTTCTCTTCAAACCATCCTTAAGAAAAAGTGAACAAAATGTAACAAAATTGCTTTCTGTCTCTGTTCATTAGAAACATATTATATAATAATATGTTGTTGTTATTGTTAAGTGCCATTGAGTTGGTTCCAACCCATCGGAACATGCTTGTTCTGTTTTTAGGGCAGCTGGGAATTTGTAATTATTTTGCTGGTTTATCAGGAATAGAGGTAGGTTGGGTTATGTCAAATATTCTATTATGTTCTTTTTTCCACTATCAAAGCTCCAGGACTTTTTTGTCAGAGTTTTCAAGGTCCCACAATTCCCAGAATTTTGATAAAGATTTGACAGTCTCCAAGTTTCCCAGATCAGGGTTGGTAAAGTTCCAAGGTCCTAATCCCTAATAAGGTGACCCTATGGACATAGATCAATGTGTCCCAACTTGGTGGGAAGGCACTCAAAATATGACTTGGAAAGAACTGCCTCCTCAAAGTAGAGCTAACCGTGATGATGCAAATGGAGTAAATCTTTCTATACCTCCATTTGCTTATGGGGCACAACCCAAAATGAGGAGAAACAGCTGCAAATATCCATTAATAATTAGAACATGAAGTGTATGAAGTATGAATCTAGGAAAATTTGAAGTTTTCAAAAATAAAATGAAAACATAAACATCTATGTAGTAGACATTAGTGAGCTGAAACAGACTGGTATTGGTCATTTTGAATCTGAATATCACATGGTTTAATATGTTGGGAACAACAAAT